AGAATTCCTAGGTTTATATCATGGCTCAATTACCTAAAATATATGAAGTCTAGTACAAAGTATTTGCTCCTTCTGTGCCTTCATAGCAGTATGCACAGGAAGGATAACAATTATGCAATCCCCATTTTAATATCAACTTTAAATATAACATGCGTTATCATCTCTAGTTCAAACGTACTGTTACAGAGATATGGGGTACTGTATCCATCTCCAGGTGTTTTTCTTTTATTTTCTTCTTATTTAATCAAAGTTATTTCTTTATTCCTTCTAAGTATTTGTATGACAGTTCTTTGAACTTTTAAGCATTTATTTGCCATATGATAATTAATAGGTCTTAAAATTTCAGTCCACCTGAGAGTTATTTTTTTCCATCTATTTCTTTTTTTTCTTTATTTTTTGGGGGGGTCTTTTTTGAAACAGGGTCTTCCTGTAGCCCCAGCTGTCCTGGAACTCACTATGTAAACCAGGCTGGCCTGGAACTCACAGAGATCTGCCTGCCTCTGCCTCCAGAGTGCTGGGATTAAAGGCGTGAGCCACCATGTCCAGCTCCATCTATTTCTTAAAACCATGCTGTCTGGTTTCTATATATTTCACTTATTGGATGCCAAATGATAGTAATAACTCTTAGACGTTATATTTCCAATTTGGCATTTTTCATTTCTGTTGAAAATTTTAACATGAGTGAGGGAAGTTTTTCACATTTATTTTTTACTTCATTATGAATTTGGAGTCAGTGATTAAATTAGGAGCATCATCTAGGATTACTATTAGAGTTTTCTTTTTAATTGATTCTCAAGTCCAGAACAACTAAAAGAAATTTACCAAGGGCATAAAACTCTAATAAACAAGATGTTTTGAAGTCCTGAAATGTTAAATATTTTTATAGTTCTGATGTTTTATTTCTTCATGCTCCAAACCTTTGTCTTTTTAAATAAAGTAATCTATTTTTTTGATGTCTTCCAACACTGAATTTCCATAAAAATGCATGGATATTCACATTTCATATGTAATTTGACAGGAATTTTATATAATATTCTAGGTAAACCTGGCAAGATGAATATGTATCAAGTAAACACACTTGTGCGGTTTTAGCCTTTATATAAATAGATACCGTGTCCCTCCATAGCTGATACTGCATCTGTTCTGTGCATAGAACTGTTTTGTTCAGTCTCTGATTTTATTAGTGTTTATTACATTGTAAATAACATTTGAAGTTTTATTTTGATTTTATTTCTTCTGTATGACAGTGTCTCTCAGGAAACACCCCTGAAAATGTTTGCCTTTAGGGAATTCTTTACCATTTTACAAAGTCCATATATGACTCTGATAATGTGATATGCAATTAAAGTCTGTATTTTTTTAATTTAATGGCAATTGTCTAAAGTGGATATATTTTATTAGGAATTTTCCTTCCCTGCATTGGAAAATGAGCTTTTTTGGGAAAGAACACAGAAAATTATAAATTAATGGATGCCCGACAGAAGGTGCAATGTGTTTTTAGGATCATAACCATTTTTCACTTTGATCCGTTTTTCATTCTTATTTAAGTATAAATATGAGATGCATTAATCCTGCATTTTATAATTCCACAGGTTGTCTTATAAAATTTATATCTTAAACATTATAGTTTACAAAATTAAGGTTAATGAACACCACAAAGCAGCGTACTCTAGTTCACAGTGCTTCATAAGTCTAAAAATATTGGTGGATTTTACTTAAATTTGTATTTTCAGTGTCCCAAGATTATGAATGCTGGAATTCCAAGGTATATTTTTAAATATAAAATAGGAATATGACATCATGCAAGTTATTTAAAATCATATTTCAATTTTATATATAATTTTTCATGAGGCAATAGGCTGTAGTAAAATTTGTAGCTGAAATTTCTTCTTTATGATTTACTTAATAAGTTAATTTTGTAGATTTGATTCTGTGCAACTTTAAGTAGAATTTATTTATTTGGCTTAAACTTTAAATCTAGAGATCTTCATTTTAATTGAAAGTAGCCAGGCACAGAAAGAGAAAGACCACATGACCTTACTTGCGTGAAATCTAAAAAGTTAATTTCGTAAAAATGAGAGCAGAGCAGTAGTTACTAGAGGCAGAGAGGTAGGAATGGGTGCAGAGTGGTCAGTAATGAGGGAGACATTATAGCGAAAGAGCAGAATTGAACTCTAGCATTCTACTGCACAGCATTTAGAAAGAAGCATTAGAAAGGAGCATTTAGAAAGGAGCATTTAGAAAGAATATAACAGCTAGGCAACTATGGAGCTTATGTTCTCTGTTATTCATATTCAAGAAACAAAATCTTATATGAGGATTAGATGAGTGATAACACCAAGCTAATATTATATAATTTAAAAGCACTGTATGAACTTATTATTTATAAATTAAAATGTGCTAAGGCCTGTGTAAACTATTGGATGTTTGATATCAAAATATAAGCACAATGACAAGCACAATGTAAAATACAAAATATTAAGGTTTTCATATTGTATCGGAGGATGGTCTACTTGAAAACTGAGAGGATGAAGTGTGTTATTCTTTACTAGACTCCCAGCTGAGCTCTGAACTTTGTATTTTTCATTTGTGTGCAAAGTAGGGGCATGTAAACTTCCCCTTAAAAGAAAGGTCACAACAAGCATACAATTCCAGTTCTGAAAAGGGCAGTGTTCCCATCATGGAACACCCTGAGAAGAAGTACCTCACCTTTAGTATACAAACGTCATTTGAGAAAATGTACTAACACAACATTCTGGTACTCAGTATTTATTTTTTTAAGAATATTTTATTTATTTTTGTTTCATGTGCATGAGTGTATTGCCTGTAATTGCACCCATGTCATGCAGTGTCTGTGGAGGTCAGAAGAGGGCATCAGACCCCCTGGAACTGGAGTTATGGATGGTAGTTAACGTTAGGGACAGTTGTTAGCCACCATTTGGGTGCTGGGATTTGAACCCTGGTCTTCCATAAGAGCAACCAGTACTCAACCACTGAGCCACTCTCCAGCTACTACTCAATATTTTTAAATCTATATGTTTCTACTTTGTATCATTTGCTTTCTGTCTCATTGTGATAAATGTCATAGGAAATAAAGCCCAATGGACCCATTTACAAATAACTTTTACAATTTGAGATTTAGTGAGCTAAAAGGTATAGCTTTGTAATTTAATGTGCATGGGTATATAATGACTCAATGCATATT